GCTCACAGTGAGAGAGGATCCACTCCCACGAATGGACAGGCTGCAGATCCAGGATTCATTTGAACAAACTTGTCAGATAACCTGGCAGATTTTATCCAAGAAGTCCTTTATAGAAAATATAATATATAATAAAATTGAACTGAACTGAACTGAATTGAACTGTATGAGCTGTGGACATTGCTGATCCACCACTTTGCCGACAGTTTTTGTTCTAGCTCCAATTCTCTTCCATTAAAAACTAAAAGCATCGTGCTCCGTCAGTAATTTTCAGATTTTGAAGCTAAACATGATTCTGATATTTTGTATTATGTTTGTGTCTTTGTAACACTAGATGCAGTATAGGAAGAACAATATCTCTGCTATAGTTATACGAGTGAGAAGGGACACATCTCACTCCTGATTGACTCTTTAGTTGCTATGAGACAATTTGGCTCCAGATTACCGTCCAATGAGCCAGCACAAATTGTCTTCTTTGGACCGGAAACAGTAAGAATGATATCTCTGGAGTCTGCGTGCATAGTTTATAACTGTTGTTACTTTCTTCAAACCTTCCAACCAGGACCTTCTGGCTGTCACTTACAAGTGCGGTGTGACAAGAGAGAGACCAGAGAGAGACCGGATAAACCAGAAGAATTAGAGAAAGAGAGAGAGAGACCTGATAAACCAGAAAGAGAGAGAAAAAGACAGACAGAGAGAGAGGGAGGGAGAGAGAGACCAGATAAACCAGAATTAGAGATAGAGAGAGCGAGAGCAAGAGACCTGAAAAACCAGAAAGAGAGAGAGAGAAAGACAGAGAGAGACAGACAGAGAGAAAGAGAGACCAGAGAGAGAAGAAAAAACATAGAGAAACCAGAGAGAGACCAGAAAGAGACGAGAGAGAAGAAAGACCAGAGAGAGACTGCAGAGAGACCAGAGAGAAGGACGATTGACCGTAGAGAGACCAAAGAGAGAAGAAGGACCAGACAGAGTGAAGAGAGAACAGAAAGAGACCAGAGAGAGAAAGAGACAAGCAGAAGACTAAGCCTGTCTCCGCGACCACTTAGTCCTCTCCCTATGTTTAGTACTGTCGTAGCTGGTCTTAATCTATCAGACCAACAACTCTGATAATGTTGAATACTGGTATCTTATAATAGTGGGTTAAGGTTTATATCTTTGTTTTAACTTATTTTTTCCCAAAGAGCGCTGTTGTCACTAGAACAGACTCTGATGTTTTGTGACAAACTGAAAGCTGGGGTACCTTGTTCCCCGGTACAGTTTGGTGCTATCACTAGTTTTCACAGGAACGTATATTTGGCCTCTGTCACATCTTGTATCAGCTTTCTCAGGTGGTAACGGGAAAAAAGAGAGAACCACCCTCACTCAGCCAATCAGCTCGCAGCGCAAAGCATCAAATGGTGACTCATAGGGCTCTTTATTTATTTGTAAAAGATGAAGAGAGTAAATTGTGGTCTCATTTGTTTTTACCAGTGGGGGAAGGTCCCGGCTCAAAAATGGCCATAATGACGTGCGCTGACAAGCTTGCAATACCACCCCGGGCCGATGGGGGTGGACCCGGAATAAGAATGAGCCAATGCTAACATCATCTTCTTACCTCTTGAAAACGTCTTTACAGGATGGTCCAAAAGTTGGCTCTTGGCCCAAAGCTCCGTTCCACATGTGTGTCAATGCTGAGTTTAGTTGGTGTGAATTTTTGAAGGCCCTCGTTAAATGAATGGGGCTCGTGCCGGCTGACGCATGCGCAGATGCGTTTTTTTTAACATTTTCCAGGGTCGGCACTAGATCATATAGATCATATCCTACTTTAGTTTTAGACTAATGAGTCCTTAAATGGTGACTGGTTAAGTTTTAGGTGTCTTAGTAAGATGGTCAAGGTTAGGGTTAAGGGTGGGTTGGGGTTATTCTTTGTTAATGGCTGGTTAAGTTTGGGCATGAATACGTAGTTGGTTATATTTACTTCCGCTTCCGTATATGATCTAGTGCTGACCCATTTTCCGCATCCAAATCAGAATCAGCCCCTGCGGCCATTTTGAAACTGCCAATAGACCGCGGAAGTTGTGGCACATTAGTTAGAACGGCGGAAATAGGCGCTACTACGTCCATTAATATTTACAGTCTATGGTTTGTACAGGGCTCTTTGGGACACACATTTTTTATGGGAAAAAAAGTTAGGTGTCTCAGCTTTAAGGTGGCCATACAGTAATGGGCCGAAATCTCCTCTTGATTGTGTTGTTGCTGCTGTGAGAAGTTAATGTGAATGAAAGTTTTGTCTCCTCACACTGAGGAGCCATCAGCGCACAGAGAATACATGTGTGTAACTCGTACAAATTGTGTGCTATTAAGGAAGTAACACAACCTCACATCACGCAAGAGGGCGCCATTCATTCTAATGGCACAATTAAATGCTCTCTTTAGATATTTTTACTTCCAAGGACCCATAGACATCAAAGTGATATGAACATTTAAGTGACTTTAGGGACATGTAAGTGGTCTTAGCTTTTGTAACACATTCCTCACCACAACTTTCAGAGATTGTTATCCTTATGAGCTAATAATATATAAAAGAAACCCAAAATGTCACACGAGGAGTGAGTTAAAACACTTATTCACGTTTTGTTTTTGAGCCAGCATGTAGCCACAAATTTGAAGAATGGACCCACAACGAGTTCTTACAGTGATCATTGAGCGCTGACCTCCGCCCAGAGGCACAGTTCCAAGGGGGATTAGGCGCTGATCTGGATCACCTCCAAAGTTTGATCATTTGTTCCAAGGCACATTTCTGAGCTTTACTGAAAAAGTTGTACAAAACCACCGATAACATTCTGACGTGTCTCGCTACGAAACAACAAACTGTGGTGATTACATTAGCCCTGTGCGGAGGCAAAAAACAGAGACAGATTTTCAAGAACTGTTTTGATAAACATTAAACAAATAATGGGGAAAAAATAAGTACCTATTAAAACCACAAAACCTTTTGACAAATTTGGTTACTGAGGAATAGGTTGATGCGTTAAGAAACATCGATAAACTCAATGAAGAAAAGCTGTTTTTTTCAGAATCCAGTTTTAATATTTGAACAATTTAAGTCACATGGAAATGAATTTTCAATCAGAAAAAAATATAGCAGAAATTTGTTACAACACATTTTAAATTGTGTATTTGTGAACACCCAAATTGCATAGAGGCCAAAAGAACACAACAGAATAAAGAAGTCCATTGAGGTATCACATCCAGAAGACATTTAGATTATCCTGCAACTGGTTTCCCTTTAATGACCATCCATACATTCAAATAAAGATTGTTCCAGTTTTGCACAAAATTGTGTTTTATTTACAAAAGGCTTTATCTATAATTACAAAAGACACTTTTTTTGTAATACAATACAAAACCTGTAATAAAAATCTTTCCCAATATTTAAAGAACTTGAAAAACGGGGCACATGCAAGTCTTGGAGTGGATTCGGAAGAACATTATGGCACAAAATAATAATAATATTAATTACAGTTCATCAAAAGCACCTTTTTGTGTTTTGTGATTCCGCACAAAGCACTTCTGTGTTGTTTTCAAGGCCACACGGAGAACGCCGGACGAGGGGAGGTCACGGGAGGGGCTCAGGGTGAAGCTGGGGGCCAACACGGCGCGGAGATTTAGTTAAATAGTTAAGAAAAAACATACGTAACTCTGGAGGCATCACTCATTTTCTTAGACACATCTACCTTTGCCAAAGTCCAAACTGTAACCAAAGAATCAGAAGGTGAAACTATGAAGACATGACTGGTGCTAACGGGAATATGGTACGACTGTAAGCTTAGCAGAAATGAGTGGAGCAAATGTATTCAGCATATGAATTGAAAATGATTAGTTTTACTATTACTATACATAATATAAAAAATTGAAATTGTGATTTGACAGAGCACCACTACTCAAAGCTGAAGGAAATGTAGGACTACGGAATGCATTTTTTCTCGATCATTTATAATACTTTTCTCTCCGTCTCTGCCCTAGTTTATAACATTATGCAAATTTTCAACAATGGAAATACAAATATGACAAACACATGATTCAACATTGCAGATTGCCGATCTGACGGTGAAAGGGCAGAGGTCTGGTGATGATTTACGGACCAAAAACAGCTCAGCAGACCTTTCAACAATCTAGGATGCTGCCAGTTTTTAATCCTGTTACATGTCAAGTATTTATATATATTACAATTTTATTATAGATTATTTTTCTATTCCATTTTTTATTTGTTTATTGCTTGTTTTTGTGATTTCCTATTACTTACAATGATAATACAAATAATACCGATATCGAGAGCCAAAGAATAGGAGTGAATAAATAAACACATCCTCAGGTGAGTTTTGGATCATAGCGACGCCATGACAACATGTGCGGTAAACAGTCCTGTTCAAATCTTATTTATCAACAGCTGGCGTAGCGTTTTTGAAAGACGTGAGGCGAAAGGCAGTTCTTGGTGCGTACGGTTGTGGAAAACACAGAAACAGGGGGCAAAGAGTGAGCAGATCTTTCTTATTAGCCGAAGCATCTTTTCCGCTCTCGAGTGCGCCATTGTCCTCCGTGGCTTTACTGTCCGTTTTCTGATGTCTCTCGCCGTGGAGTTGGCCCTACGAGGGTCGAGGAGTAGTATCCGTGAGCGCTTCGGGACAGGGTCTGGAATCAAGGCTTAGGGATGGGCCGATAACCACGATGCCGCTATGCTACGGAACGGTATTCAAAGAGCCCTCAAAAACGGGCTCGAGCTACATGGGTTTTGGTTTTAAAATTGGTCTATAGTGGCACACCTAATCTCACCAACCGGAATATTTTAATGGACTATTTTTTCACAATAATTTCATATCGTCCCATCCCTACTCAGGTCTGTTTGGGGTCTACAGCTAAAGCAAAAGTCTTCCTCTTGGATGGTGGACACAGGTTTAGTTTGTTGAGGTAAAGATTCAGCCCCGATGTGACCCTGTCCTGTAGCGGGGAGCGGGGGTCTGTCTCTAGCCCGCAAAGCACACGGGGCCCACCTCGAAGCCGAATCGCTGGTTGGTCTGTCCGAAGTCGTTGAGCATGACGTCGATGATGGGCAGCTGGTCGATGCGCGGCGTGTTGATCTCCAGCACTGACCGAGAGTAGCCCTGCTTCAACTGCACACACACAACACAGTCAGACATTAGACATTTAGAAACTGGCTCTCATAGCGCCTGAGCTCTCAGCCTCACCCCTCCCCTCCCACTATCCTCACCCCTCACCCCTTCCCTTCCACTATCCTTACTTATATGTAATGGACCAAACTGAGTATTTGCCTTTGGGAACCAAATTATACGTCTATAGAAAAATCTGAAAGAGTCTAGTGCAAGAATACTTGCAAGTCTCTAGCTCAGATGGTTCAAATATCCACAGTGATGGTACTACTGTACATGTTAGCATCATGTGACACTACTGTACATGTTAGCATCATGTGATACTACTGTACATGTTAGCATCATGTGACACTATTGTACATGTTAGCATCATGTGATACTACTGTACATGTTAGCATCATGTGACACTATTGTACATGTTAGCGTCATGTGATACTAATGTATATGTTAGTAGGGATGTAAAAAACTATGAATTTTCATGACCGACCACCGAGCCTCATTAACCGGTTGAAACCGGTTAACCGCGTAGTTTAAAATAGTCCACGTTCTTTGAAATAACAACCATTTTGAGCCGCGTACTTTTCATAAGTGCAGCTCTGCGTTCTACTGGATCAGAGCCGAGACAGCGGCGCCCAAACCCGCAACAGCTCCGGCACCTTTGCGCACAGAGAACTGCTGTTTTAATCTTCCCATTCTGCTGTGCTGCGGGTTAATACCAAAACTTTCTAGCAGCAAACGACGGCTCGTCCACATGGTCAGAGCAGCGAGTGACGAGCCGCGTCTCACAGGTCTTCACAAAAGTTTAAATACAAGTGATGTTTGTGGAGCTGATCCCGAGGACCATAAACACAAACATGTTCCATGTGGTTGGACTGGAGCCGCGTATTTGCGCGAATCCTTTGGGCTCCGTGACACAGAGGAGCGCGACAGACCGGTATGTGTGTGTGTGTAAGTGTGTGTGTATGTATGTGTGTGTGTGTAAGTGTGTGTGTATGTATGTGTGTGTGTATGTATATGTGTGTGTGTAAATGTAAGCTCCAATGTAGTTCTGACCCGCGCCAGTGTGCAACTTTGACGGTAACAGAGGGGAGAGATGATGCGTGTGGATGTTACGTATGGAGAGGGGGAAAGTGTGTGTGCGTGTGTGTCTGCGCGCGCGCGCGTGCGTACGCGTGCGTGTGTGCATATGTGGCTCGTGCGGCGTGAGAGTCGTCCCGGAGTTTATAATACATGGGCGCACACAGCTAGATAAAGACCCGCTCGTCACATCGTGCAAATAGGGCTTAAAATAGCGTTATTAAGAGACCTCCCCTCTCCCCGTTTTCTCTTTTTTAACCGACAGCTTTGACCGGTTAACGCTGTGACGGTCAACCACCGGTTAAACGGTCAACGATTTACATCCCTATATGTTAGCATTATGTGACACTTCTGTACATGTTAGCATCATGTGATACTACTGTACATGCAGCATGAGGATACATTTCTGGGATAAACGTGACTAAGTAAAGTGACAGTGGACAAATGGTCCTGTATTGCACATTCTGACATGTTTGCACATTATTGCACAGACGCATGACGTTGGAAGTCTGGTCAGCCGTGTTCATGGTACAGTATGGACCAACGATGAATGAGTACCGTTCAGAGATATCAAATACTTTATCTTTCGTGTGAGATTACCGAGCATCCGTCTGTGAGGGCTTTGATGTAGGGGTTGTTATCGTAGGACATCTCCTCGTCGTTGGAGCCCAGGAAGCGCAGCGCCTTCTGGTGGCCGTCGTCTTTAGCGTCGTACCAGGCCACGGACTGGTGACAGATGTAGGTGAAGTTCTGCCGCGCCGAAGAGCTGAGCAGCTTCAGGAACGTCATCTGGACCGACGTGATCTCGCTCTCCGAAATGTCCACGTAGTTCAGCTGAGGACGGGGCACATTTCTTATTATAAAACAGATTCATGTTTTAATCACTGTCATTGTATCAAGAGCTGGATTCATATGTAATCCCACTTTACACCTTTTATAGTTTAGAAGTTTCTTTAGTATAGAGCAAAATCGATTTAAATATAGGTTGTCATTTTTGATCCAGACCCGGCAAAAACTTTAAAGCTGGGGTACTTAAATGTTTTGTTTCATAAATAATTCATGGTGTTTGCCCCAACAGAAAAAAGTCAATCTTAGCAACAAATCAGAACACAACCTCATCCTTGTCTTTTTAGAGAACTGGTGATCTTTTGAGTACTGGTAAAATAACGGCCCTGTGAGTCACGAATTGATGCTTTGAGCCGAGAGCTGATTGGCTGAGTGAAGGTGGTCCTCTCTTTTTCACTTTTCCGTCTGAAAAAGCTGATCTGAAGATGTGACAGAGGCCAAAAATACATGCTTGTGAAAACTGGTGTAAGAACCGTTTTTGAAAACCAGCTTTAATATTTCTATCTTGATTTAGAGGAAAACTTTAAATGGATTTCCACTTTTCTGCTGTGATAACATTTGAAAGAAAACCCAGCTGATGAATGAAAACGGAATGGATTTGTGCAGATGGAAACGGTGAAGAGGGATTAGGAGAGAGATGGGAAAATGAAATTATGACGGAGATTGGAGAAGAGAGCACTGTGTGCAAAACAAAGTGTTACGATAAACGTGATAAAGAGGAGGAAATATAAGGATCCAGCCATTTCCTTGACAGAAAAGAATCTTTGAGAACAAGAAAAAAACTCACAATCTTCCCTCGTTTGAATTCACTGAACCATGATCCTGGAGACTCTTTGGGCCAGTTGGATATTCTAACCTGAAATGCAAAGACGTTGCATGTTATTGTACTGTTGTGGAATTTAATAAAAACGATAAATGAAATACCAACCCAGAGCTGTATGAGAAATGAAAGTTTGGTTTTGTTAATGTGCTCATATACAAAGCCTGTCTGATTCCCTCAGATATTGAACAAATGAAGTCAACATTTGCCATACGTAACTCAAGGCTGCCCTTTCCGCTTTCTGAACTAATCACAAGTCTGATATTTTCAACTGTCTGTTTTGATCTGGTACACACAAATATTGTTTCTTTAGTAATTCCAAAACATATTTCCGTCAGCTGACCTTACTGCCAGCACAGAACACGTACATATGTATTGTATCTGGATCACGAGTAACTTAGTAACTTACTCATAAGTTGAATGTGAAAATAAAACACATCTTTACAAGTCAGATTTCTGCAGGTACTTCTACCAAATGATTGATGATCAAATAATACAGCAGGAAATTAACATTCAAAAGGAAAAACAGATTAGACCTAATAAGGGCTGATTGTGTGGCTGTGGTGCAGGCCATCAATATGATAAGGTTTAATATCTTTTCGAAACAATGTCATTATTCTAAATTAATCAATTAACAATGAAAAAGATGTTAGGACAAAAACAATCAACCCTGTGGATGCTAACGGTTGTTTTCAAACCTTGAGACAATAATTAACTTTAAAAAAGACACAAACTTCCTCACATCAAAACAAATCCTGTAATGTATACATGTGTGTATCAAATATGTCTAGATCAATTGCAGGAAAAAGTGAAAGTGGGATTTGAACAACAGTCACTGATAGTCACTAACATCTGTAACAGTCTTCCTGAATGTGTGAGACAGTCTTCGGCTATGACAATGTTCAAATCCAGGTGTTTCGTTGTGCATATGTGGGAAAGTGAACTTTTAACAAGGACTTTTAACTGCTTTTATTTGTGTGATGTGTTTTGTGTTTTTATATTTTTAATGCATGGATTTTAATCACAGTTCCTTGGACACTTCCCCTAATCACCCACACCTGCTTTTAATCAAGACTTTTTAATTGGGGGCGGGCACTGCAGGACAAAAGGAGAGACACAGAGAGAGAACACGGAGGACCAGAGGAGGAGGACGCGGGACCGGGCCAAGGACGAGGACGAGCACCGCCAGCCAGAGACCACGGTGCACTGAGGCCAGCGGGGGGAGCGGCACCGGTAAGGGGGGCGCGCATTGACAGCGCATGAAGGCGCGTGCGCGCCCGGGCTAGGCCCAACGACGACCGGGATGTGCCGGCTCTCCCCCGCGGGTGCCCGGTGCCGACCCGTGGTCGGCTAGTGGTTGGCGGAACTGCGGCCCGGTCCCGGGTGAGAAGAGCGGAGGACAGTGGGGACGGACTCTGGGCTTTTAATCATCTTTTATGGATCCCTTTTGTAAATATTTTATTACATTTTATCCCCTTTTTATCCAGTTTCCCTTTTTATGATCACACCCCCTCAACAGACACTTTTAAACCTGTGACACATACACCTGAGGAATCGTAACTTCACACTGTTTACTGCACTATTTTTATTTATGATGTGAATGACTTGTTTCTTTCTTGTTTCGTTAAGCCCTTTGCCTTGTGTATGAATTCTGCTACACAAATAAACTTGCCTTGCTTACCTTATATTTTATTTTTTGCCAAATTTGTCATACTGGTGTACAATTACAGCATTTTCAAATTCTACTGCCCATCATGACGTTGTGTCACCAGTCATGAGTTGGTGAAAGAAAATAAACAAATACATTGGATTGTACAAAATTTATGAACAGTAAATGATTTGACAGAAGCTGAGGACACACAACTCGACAAACAGCATGAGTCACAAATGGCCTGTGTCTGAAGTGCAGATTTACCCCTGAGGACTTCTTGTCTGGGTTGATGCAGGTCTCTCCTCCAGCTGTGAAGTTACAGAAGACTTTGATGGAGTCGCCGATGCAACCCTGGTTTGGATCTATCCAGTATTGACCTGGAACAGAGATCAGCGTCACACAACGGCACAGAAACGCACACTTGGAATCAGTATGGTGTATGTGTGTTACATGTCTGAAGTACTTGGCTGATCTGTTTAGTTAGTTAATTTATGCATGACTATGCATTTGAAATGCTACATTTAGCCAGAGTACCACAAAAACATAGCTATATATACTGCTTTACATACATACAATCCATGAAACTAGTTTGAGGCCCCAAAACAGTTTTTGTCTGCTCTGTTGGGACATTTACATTTATGAACACAAAAATAAGGTACTCCAGCTGTAACTGAGGTAACTAAAAGCAGAGTTTGGAAAAAATAGATTTTGATTCCCATTGTTAATTGCAAGCATATGATTCCATGTCTGCTTTGCTTGTATCTATTTTTGAATCCTCATAGAATAGAATAGAATAGAATTCATTATGACCTTGAAAGTATTGTGAATACAATAATAGTTTCTCAAGACCAGGGTTGGCCTGCGAGCCAATTGTGACACAATTTCATGCTGTCATCCAGCCAACTTCAGCTGCAACAGAAGAAGGGAGCTCTAGCTCATGAAGCGCAGAAGCACAACAAGCGTTTCAGTGACTTCATCAGTATGACTGACGCATGTGTTTGATTGTGTCAGAAAATCATGGCTATAGAGTTGCTGGTGAGAACGTAACCTTTATCATTCAGCCACCATATCTCATTTAAAAGCTCAGTAAAACTGGACAATTCCAGTGAAGTAAAGTGGCTCTCTCATTAAAAATCTCTAGTCTGTCTTTTATAACAATGACATACTCTATAAAGGCATTTATATTTCCAGTCTTTAGAAATGGTTGCTAATTCAAATTCCAAATGGATACAAGTTGAAAAGTTCAACCTCAAAATGTAGACAGAAAGATAATTAGCTCCACTGTATCTCAGGTATTTTTCTATGCATAGTATTTTGACCTACACGTCAATGTTTGAAACATTAAACAAAATTCAAACTTTAATTTGTGTAAAATTATGCACTTCTGATGTTATGATGACTAGGTGAATAACTCCTCTTTGCACGCACCATCAGGGAAGTCTGGCTGGCTGAGGTGCAGGTCTTGGCAGGTGCGAGCCGGGTTGTCCTGAGTGCCCAGGGGGAACTTCATCCTCTCAATGTCTTGCTTGAGGTTATTCAGAGACCCAAACACGTCCTCTATGCCCTCAGCCAGACCATAGTCAGCCATGGCTGCGTCCGCCTGCTCCTCCGCCTGCCGCTTGCTCTTCCCGGAGTGCTGGATGGGTAAAGGCTGGATCACCTCAGCGGGAGGGCCCTAAACCAGAACAGGCATCACTGTGATTAAATAGTTACAAATTATAGTTATTTGTAATTACTTCCTTCACTTATTATTATAATGTTTTTGTTGTATATGATCATGTATTGGGACAGTGTGTATTAATGAATTCATGTAATCACACAGACTTAACTAATCTATGCCTGTAGTCTCACAGTCACAAACGCACACTCATCTATCCTCACTTATTGTGCACATTTTTAGTGGTAGGGGTAACCAGAGCACCCAGAGGAAACCTACATAGACAAGGAGAGAACATGCAAACTTCTATATGTGTGTTTTGAACCCAGGACGTTCTTGCTGTGTATATCATTTGCACAATAATTTCAATTGTGCATCAATACAGTTTGTCTGAGCCTTAGACACATACATAGGTTACCTTGGAGCTTGGAAACACATACACTATTATTCTACTGTTCCCAGTTTTTTGTTTTTCTGCCTATTTCTGTGAACATTTGTCAGTCTGTGCTGCCAGTAGTTTAGGGCTGCACGATCAAATGCAATCTAATCAATTGGGAAATCACAAAGACAGCTCATTTTAAAGTCCCTTGTAAAAGAACAAATATAATCAAGCAAATTAAGGACAAATACATTCATTCACATTAATATCTATCAATGGAGCAAATAAAATGATTTAAACAATACAATAATAATCTCACAAAACGAATTCAAACATGTCAACCACTGGTGTTTTATATTATTTTGTGGTGTATTTTTATTACTGAAAAAAAAAGTTTAAAACAACACTTTTTAATGTTCAGACATATCGTAAATTGCATAGCATTATTAATCAGAACAATCACTAGATATTTCTCTAACATACTGTAGTTACTGACAGTCCATGTTCTTTGTAAAATAATAAAACTCACAGGTGGTCCTGGTGGTCCAATGGTTCCTGTGTCTCCCTTCTGACCGGCAGTACCCTGAAATAGCAGTCCGTGTGGTTAAAGATGAATGCAGCCATTGGACAGTCCAATAAAAACCTCAAAAATATTACACACAAATACTTACAATTGATCCTTTAGCACCCTTCTGTCCTAGAGTTCCCTGCCAGGAGCATAAGAAACATGATATTTAGATACATGACATGGACAAGATAGAAGACATAGACCATGAGAAAATCTTAAAAATGAACTCACAGGAATACCAGGGGGACCAGGAGGACCCAGTGGACCCGCAGAACCACCAATGCCCTAGAATGAAATGGCACGTATTAAGTTATTGATTTAAATGTTGGGAAAAAGGCAATGCGGGGTTGGCATTATTGACACAATGACAGGAAACTCACAGCCTCTCCCTTTCCTCCGGCTAATCCCTGAGGGCCAGGCAGTCCTCGGTCTCCCTTCTCTCCAGGCTCACCAGGGGGTCCGATCAGTCCAATCAAACCAGGATGACCCTTTGAAGATGATACAAGAGTTAAACCAAGTATAGATTTCACTATATTTGATTTGAGTTTGAGTGACTATGTTTATTCTCCCTTAAATAGACAGGACCTAAAACAAAGGATTGGGAGCCAAGAATAATCTCACAAAGACTCAAATCTGTTAACCAGCAGTCTTCTGTGATGAGGGACTGCTAACCCCATATTGAAAATATGTTCTAATGGCAGCAGTCTAAGTTGAGACACCCAGACTAACCTATCCACACACTCTTTCTCCAGCTGATTCGGGATTCCGGAGCCGTTCCCAGACTGTGAGACAGTCAGCGTGAGATAGATGCCCGAGCCACCTCAACTGGCTCCTCTCAACGTGGAAAAGCAGCAGCTCTACTTCAAGATCCTCACTATCTCTAAAGGAGAGCTCACCCACTCTGCGGAGGGATCTCGTGTGGACCGCTTGTATCTGCCATCTTGTTGTTTCGGTCATTACCCAAAGCTCAAAGGTAAATCGAGAGCTTTGCCCTTCGACCCTGGTCCAGTAAAGTAGTCATTCTATTGATATTCCACACATAATATATGCATATTTTAGAATGTTAAATCCTCCTTGCAGGGTTCATTGTAAACTTTCCTTGAGAGAAAGTTGGAGAGCGATTGAACACAAAGACACACAGTTCTGGAGATGTTTGCTCACTCAAAGAGCAGCAGATAAGACACATTCGCAGATTTGAGAAACACACAATAAAGCAATTTGAGATTAACATCTTAATAACGTCGTCTTGCCTTCTCTCCCTTGAATCCAGAGTCACCTTTCATTCCGGGAAGTCCAGGAGGACCCTGTGGAGGAGAGAATCCGAGTGAGTGACAGAAGAATAAATGAAATGACTTAAAACTGACAGCCGTCGCACAGCTCTGCATTCAAAGTGCCAGTTCATTTTGTGTCACACTGAGAGACCGCAACAATCGCCTCAGGATAAAACCACTGGAAACCCCTATATTTCACTGAGAGAGCTGCGTGGGGTTAAAATAATGGGCTATGAAACATCTAAACAACAGAAAATGATGAATGCATAATGGGAAAGCTTCTTACAATAGGTCCAGGGGGTCCGTCCTGACCAGAAGCACCAGGAAGTCCTTGTTCACCCTAGAAAAAACAACAATTAACATTCCGTACTTATGAGTATATTAGAATAATCAAAATCTGTCTTATTTTTGTTGATAGTTCATACATATATAATGCAACTGTGGCCAATGACTTCTATAATACAATAGTTGGGGTTATGGGGTATCTATTTTTGTTTTGTCACTTCTCTTCCTTAAAAAGCTGAGGCCAAAAATGCATACCTGTACATGCAAAAATGTATATCTATACACACTTTTGGCCTTGACCAAACATGTTTCTATGCACAATATAAAGTATATATATGCCATAATAAAGACTGTAGGAACTCACCACAGGTCCTGGGATTCCTCTCAAACCCTCGGCTCCGGTTTTTCCAGGAGGTCCCTGAGGTCCAACTGGTCCAGTTTGACCGACGGCGCCCTCTGCTCCAGCCTCTCCCTGTGAACCACAGACAACCACTTACTCAACCAAAAATATACATTATTAAAATCCTTTCGCAAATCTCTTAAAAAAGTATTATGCCATAATTAAATATATATGTTAATTAGGGTTTAGAAGTTTTACGCTCCTTGTAAATGGAACGCTCTGCCTAATGTTATTCAATTTGCTCTTACGCAAAGAGTAAGCAAAAGACTCACTTGTCTCTATCTCTAATGTGCTATACGAATAATGTAACTTCTATTATGGGCAAGGAACATATATTGACATATTTTGATTTTAATTTTGATTCTTGCTTTTTCTGAAAAAAAAAATAAATAAACAACGGAATAACAAAATAAATGAACAATCGGCTTGTTATGCATTCAAGCTAAGACTGAATTTACGTCATATCATGAATTAAGGTTTTTCAATCCAGGAGGCACCAAAACCGAAACTTTTTTGTGAATTTCTTTCTCATCGACAATGTAATTCATTTCAAAAGAGAAAAAGATCCAACTGTTCCAACTCATTTTCTTCTTGAACTTAGACGTCTCTCTGAATGACAGGAAACGAGTATTGTTGTTGCTCGATGCCACTGTGCCCAAATTGAAGGATGAGAAGGATTACATGGTTCTGACAAGCAATTAGACCTGGATTTGACAGGAGAAAGAGCTGTCTCCAAAACGTCAAAGGTAATCCTCCTCCGCAGGGTAAATACACAAGATTTTTTTAATTTGGGCCCAGAGCTATGGGTGGAGCATTGGTGAGGGGTGACCATAACAGTTACTGCTCGTACAGTTCGTTATGATAAGGCAAGCTAAAGGTTTTAACATCGATAGGACAGCACCTTGTTATTGGACATACAGATAGAAAGTAGTTTATCATAAAAATTTCCAAACCCAAAGACAATTTGTAACCATAGACTGTATGTATATATTATGGATAATGCTAACCCCTAAGCTCAATGAAGCCTAATATGGAAGAGCTCATGGACAAAGTTTTTCTCCATCTCACTCTAGCTCCAATTGATTTAATTCTCAGTTTCCGTTTGTGTCACACTCACCTTTTGGATTAATTAAATTCATGTTTAGCGCACTCTTCGTTGTATTTCTATTGTGATTTTTATGTCTTTGTAAATGTAGATGTGAACCATAGAAACTGACCAATCAGGAGCCTTCTGTTGCCGAATTCAGGCTTTAGTTTGTGATTAAGGTGAGACAGACTGGCGCTGCTCCTGATTGGCTTCTAGAAACTTGGCTGGTGCTACCAACAAAATGTTCAGAAATTTGGCTCCAGATTCCGGCTCAAAAGGCCTATTGGAGTTAGCTCTAATCAGTTTCTGCATTCAGTGAACATTATGGGTGACATCAGCACTAGATTAATCCCTCATACAATCTATGGTTGCAAACAAAACCTTAAGTATGCAATGTATACAGTGAATTAAGGATATCATTTTGAAGGTTTATGTAGAATACAACTCTATTGGTTTATTGAAGAATGGCGGTTATTATAATTATCAAAAAAAATCCAAATACCTGGGAAAAATAATATCAGAAAATCAGGAAAAATAATATTACCAAAGAAAATAAAGACAAAACAATTTTGTATCCAAACATTATTAATTTTTAAACCTAAAAATGTATTATTATTATTTTGCCACACCCCTAAATCTGTTGCATTTAGCAGATATTTCTCAGCACATTTTTATTTTCAAACATATTGAAAAAAAAGTTGCAATCAATCTGCCGCCAAAGTGTAACACAAACTATCTTTTCAGGATATAAGGCAAACAGCTTCTTTCAGCTTTAAGACATCACTGCTAAATTTATCGAGCAATCACTGGGTTAGCGCTCTGAATACACTGCGGTGATAAATGATTGAGGTGGTATAGACTCTCTACCGGTCGTTCATCATTCCATTTAGACTTGTTGAAGGCCTTTCTGATTGCATTAGCCTGATGCCTCCTCCACAGATCAGCAGCTAAACTAATGCAGCTTACCTTGGCTCCCTTCTCGCCTTGTCTGCCCTCCGGACCGGCTTTTCCAGCAGAGCCCTGTCAAACATCGACAAAATATGGCATTGGCATCTTCAGAAAGGACAGGGGTACCACAGATTATTATTAACAGCCCCTTGGAGCATTAGACCAGTAAAGGTCAAGAAGGGAATTGAGACATTTATTGTATACATGCAATATATATAGGTGTGTGCATGTGCAATGAATCTTCACTCAAGGGCACCCAATTCTAAATTTAAATACTGTCTTTTGCCGTTCAGAACTCAAGGGAAATAAATATACAGTATTTGAAAATAGTCAAAATAAACAAGGCTGATTATTAATTATTACTATTATGTAGAGGTACAGTAGTAGTAGTAGCAGCCTCAAGAAAAACCCTGCATTTGTCCCTCAGTGAGGAAATTTCAGCAGTAATACTAGTAATAAGTAGTGGTGGTAGCAATAGTAGTATTAGTCTGAGTTGTAGTAGAAGTAGTAGTGGTAGTCTCAGTAGTTGTATTGGTGGTAGTAGTAGTAGTATGAGTAATAGTAGTAGTAGAAGATAGATTGAAAGTTTGTGTTAGACTAGTCCAACAATTGTCTGGTGAGGCCTTTTTATTTGTATTTTGTGCCAAATTTCTGGGCCCTGGGCAAAAAGAAAATAATATATCTGACATTCAGCATTGTGGCTGAAAACTCTTAAATAAATAACTAAAATCTGCAACTTGAGTGTGATGCTTTCCTCAACTTTTCATGAAGCTTTCTCCTATCTGTCCCTCAGTGCAGGTTCGTTACTTCAGGCCCAAGACGACTGTTCAGTGGTAGCACAAAACAGCTTGAACCTGTACTTAGACAGAAATGACTTCATCATAAAAAAAGTATTTGTATTTGGACTTATAATGTGAAACAGATTAATGATATAGACCAGGGGTGGCCAACCAGTCAGAGACTAAGAGCCAATTTTTTTTACTGTGTTACAGCAAAGAGCCACATCATACAAATGTGCACTACATAAACATCACCCCAACCCTTACACACGCACGCACACGCGCACGTACTGTACGCACACGAGCAGACACGCGCACACACATGCAATCTGTCTGAGCAGAGAGAGGTGTGCTCTGCTCAGACAGATTTATTGTAAATGTCATCAACATGATAATGACAGAAATTGACTCGTACATACTAAAGGGCTGGACTCCCTCTCCGGTTTGCGGGCGCTTCTACCGCTCGCTTCAGCCGCTCCCCGTACTTTTTATAATGGTTTGGCCCTGGTTCTAACCGGGAGTCGATACCAGAACAATTTCACGTCAGCGAACATCAATTATGATTCCGAAATGAATGCTTTCAATCTCTAACCAAGAAAAAAAAATCAAGTTTCAACCCAGTGTTCAGCAGAAACACAACTGTCTTTAGTAAAAGATATAGATTTGACACATAACACCAACACCACTTTAGCTGATTTAGAACCACAGACACATGCTCAGTATAAGACCAGATACTTTTGCATTTGATTGAAGACAGACACTCACCAGGCAGAGTTGGCTTATCTCCTGGTGTAATGCTAGTTGTTGTTAGCTGGTTTTAGCATGTTAGCCGGTGTTAGCCGATGTCCGTAAATGTAATCCATTTGGTCAAACCACCTCCAGACTTTTCGGGTCTGCCTCTACTTCTGCTGCTGCGATCTTTCATTCACGGTTGTCACTTTTAAGCTTTTTAACTTTTCTCTGCATTGTCATGTTTGTGGGAATCATTCTGCTCCGTCCTTAGTGCTAGCTCCACAAACACCTTCTGGTTTCTGGTGGAACCAGCGAGATCAGGCTGGTGTCCTCTCCTCAAACTGAGGAAGGTGTTGCCCTCATCCACGACCAAGGAATTGTTTTCCGTACGGACGTCATGGTTCGAGGCAACGTGTTGTTTGTTATGATATTTGCTACAGCTGAGGTAGCAGATGCAGAGTGATTGACAGCGCATCTGACCAATCAGAATTGACGTTCGCCGACGTCAGATTGTTTTGGTGGCCTGGCTAGTGGAGTGAAGTCGGCCTTTACTATTGGTCAGAACTACATAGGGAATGAAAGGCAGCGCCACCACCGAGGCGTTTTTGACGCTTGTCGAGTGAAAGCCCGAGAGCCGCACGGAACCAGCCAAAGAGCCGCATGCGGCTCACGAGCCGCGGGTTGGCCACCCCTGATATAGACCCAGAGCAAAGTGTCTGGTGTAATGTTGATGATTATGGCTTACAGTCCATATTCAAAATATTTTACTAATTTATTAGTTTCACATTGTAAATTGAAATACAGAAATAAATGGACTTTTAATTTTCCAATTTAAAATGTAAATAGTGAGACAGAATATTGGTATTATACTATTACTACTATTATATTGGTAATACTGTGGAATCAGCTTCCCATTTATGTTAAGGAAGCAGATACGGTCTCCACATTCAAGGCCAGGCTTAAAGCACTTTACTTTAATTTAGCATATAATTAGGTAATATATAATATGTAGTGTATATAGTATAGATATATGCTGTATTATGTTATATATTATGTTATATATTATTCAATAATGTATTGTGTTATGTTGTATATTATGTTATATATTATGCTGTATGTTATTCTTTATTCAAGGCTAGGTTTAAAACAGTCCGCTTTAGTTTAGCATATGGCTAGGAAGGTAAGACTCGGAGAAGGTTAAACTCCTCAGAGTGTTAGTCAAGCTGCATAGGATCCCCCCCAAAAAGTGTCAGTTTGCTGGGAGAAGGTATGGTAACTTGAGCACTATCCTCTCCTCCTTCCTACTTTATCGGTTTAGCATTGTTTAATTCTGACTGTAGTTTGTTCATTGCTATTCACCCGTTGTCCCATTGTCTGTTTCATGGTACGATGACGGGATCTCTGAGCCTGGCCTCTTCCATCTACACCTGCGGACTGCCCGCGCCCGACCCGCCTGGGAGTGCTTCGGTCCTGCACCGGACCTGTCCACGTTCAGCGCCACTGGTCCACGTTCTGTAGCTAGCTTAGGTCCTGGAGGCATTAGCCTGTCCGTCCGTGAGGAGCAGCCCTTACTCATATGGGTCGTCCCTCCCTGTGGGTTTCCCTAGTTCTCCCCAAGGTTTCTCACTTTTTCCCACTGGGTTTTTTAAGAGTTTTTCCTTGTCGATCCAGGAGGGTCTTGTTGACATGTTAGTGTCCAACAGTAAAGGATTGGTGATGATCAGGACACTTTAGCATTCTACAACATGTATGGACATTTTCTTCCTGTGTTGCTTTATATTCTTCATGTGTTTTAACTGTTTGATTCTCTGACCTGTATGTTGGGTGATTGTCATGGTTTTGTTAAGTCCTCTGAGATGACTTCTGTTGTGACCTAGGGCTATACAAGAATAAATTGTATTGTATTGTAATTGTATTGTATTAGATGGCATACTATGGGTTTCTGCCCTAAATATGATAATTAAAAGGTGGTCACTACTGCAAGACAAGAAATGCAGTCACTTACAATAAGGTTTATTTTACATATATAAAATTGTGGAAAAGTATATAACGTATACTGTTTGGGTTACCTTTTCCAGAGGATTGCTTTCAAAGTTTGGCATATCATCTTGTCTAGAACAATGTGGATAATACGGACACCTTAGGTTTGTGCATTCTGGTTGTTTCTCTTCTCAATGGTGGCATAATGAAGAGATAACGTCTTAGAAATATGCCCACATGCGAGAAAAGAGCCGGAAAAGTATCTGCATTAATTAATACTTATTGGGACACTGGTCAAGCAGCGCTAGCAGCTTAGTTTGGTTACACCGATTATGTGTCACAATTTTGCTGCCTAAAAGCTGCTTTTCGCCGCTGGGCAGACCCCGTTAGTGGATTGTCTAACCGGACATAGAAGACACGCTGCGATCCCAGGTCGACTAAGACCACGCCGCTCAAGTAGATGGCTATCGGCACGTGCTGGGTATCTACGCTCGGACTATCTGCGCTATCTGCGCTTCGGACTATCTGCGCTCGGACTATCTGCGCTGGGACTATCTACGCTGGGACTATCTACGCTGGGACTATCTACGCTGGGACTATCTACGCTGGGACTATCTACGCTGGGACTATCTACGCTGGGACTATCTACGCTCGGACTATCTGCGCTCGGACTATCTACGCTCGGACTATCTGCGCTCGGACTATCTGCGCTCGGACTATCTACGCTCGGACTATCTACGCTCGGACTATCTACGCTCGGACTATCTGCGCTCGGACTATCTGCGCTCGGACTATCTACGCTCGGACTATCTGCGCTCGGACTATCTGCGCTCGGACTATCTACGCTCGTACTATCTACGCTCGGACTATCTACGCTCGGACTATCTGCGCTCGGACTATCTACGCTCGCACTATCTACGCGACTATCTACGCTCGGACTATCTACGCTCGGACTATCTACGCTCGGACTATCTAGGCTCGGACTATCTACGCTCGCACTATCTGCGCTCGGACTATCTACGCTCGCACTATCTACGCGACTATCTACGCTCGGACTATCTACGCTCGGACTATCTACGCTCGGACTATCTACGCCTGGACTATCTACGCTCGGACTATCTACGCTCGGACTATCTACGCTCGGACTATCTACGCTCGGACTATCTACGCTCGGACTATCTAGGCTCGGACTATCTACGCTCGGACTCTCTACGCTCGCACTATCTGCGCTCGGACTATCTACGCTCGCACTATCTACGCGACTATCTACGCTCGGACTATCTACGCTCGGACTATCTACGCTCGGACTATCTACGCTCGGACTATCTACGCTCGCACTATCTACGCGACTATCTACGCTCGGACTATCTGCGCTCGGACTATCTACGCTCGGACTATCTACGCTCGGACTATCTACGCTGGGACTATCTGCGCTCGGACTATCTACGCTCGGACTATCTACGCTGGGACTATCTGCGCTCGGACTATCTACGCCCAGACATTCAGACGTGAAACTAGCAGTAATCTTTCAGTTATATATTGTGTTAGCAGTGCGTTGCTTTTGTACCATTTCATCAGTGA